TTTTTTTTTTTTTTTTTTTCATTTTATAAGACACTGGATGAATTCCAGTGGAAGAGGTACTCCCATATTTTGTTATGTGGGCTTAATGAAAGCAATTTGTCAACAAGAAAAAATTATTCTTACCGAGAGATCAACAGTTCCTTGATACCATGTGTTGCCTTGATCTCCAGCCTTCCGGAATACCATGAACCACATTTTATCTACTGTTTTTATCTCTACACTTAGGGTTCCCATGGAATTACCAGACATATGGTAAAAGAAACTCATATTGCATCCTTCACCAGCAGTGAACCAGGGTGTCTCAAGTGATGCCTGGCAAGGAAAAAATAATGAATGCATCGTCAATGAAATAATATTGCCAGTACATTCCATAAATTTGTTTGTGTTATAAGAGAGACTACGGTCTTTGACTGTAATTATACAACCTATTGAAATAAAGTGTCATTCGTTCGTTATTAGAACAAATATAGTAAGCAGTACTTGCCATTTAAAATTTATTTCTGCACAAGACAAATACTGAAAGAGGTGGCCTAGAAAACTGCTTGGAGAGGAAACTTTGACAGGCATAAAATAAATACAAAATGTAASCTAACAGCCTTAATGCAAAAATTTTGCATGAATACAGTAGCAAACAAAGGTAAATAATTCTTGTTTGTTGCAGTTTGTACAGTATCTTCAGGATGATCTAGAAACCAGAACATATAACCTTAATTTTCCAATTTTTATGATGCATTGAGTGGCTCACTTAAATTTTTAGAGATAAACCGGAGAAAAAAAAATCCTTTTTCTTACATTCACAGGCAAGACACTTCACTCTTGATGTACATGTATGACCACATCTCTCCACACAGGAGTATAAAAATGGGCTAGTCTGAAGTATCAAAAAAGGTAAAGTCTGCATACAAGCTTTGGCCCATCATCTCTGGTTTCTGTAGCATGAAGCAACTAAGAATATTTCTACTCCCCCTGAATGGGATGCTAGTCCATCGCAGGGTTGCCCCCAGCATTAAATTTGATAGTAACCATTTGTACACCTGGGTGGAGAGAGGCACTGTGAGAGTTAAAAACACAGCACAATGTCCCCAGCAAGGGTTCGAACCCAAACCCCTTGATCCAGAGGCAAGTGCACTACCCATGAGGCCACTACCACAGGTACTGACAAATTGTACAGAAAAGCAATCTAAATGCTACTAGCTAGTCAGAGGTTAACTGTAATGGGAAGGCACTCATCAATTTGTTGATTTCAGAGCTGCAAAATCACGCCTTGCTTTAAACAAAAAGACATACCCTACTTCCAATGGCTATTCCTGATGCTTCCAAATATCCATAATACCCTGAGCCTGTTGAATGGTCAGCTGTAGGTCCAGTGGATTTAGTTGGAGTTTTTTTCTCAGTTATTTTCCAGTCCTTGTCATCATCTTTAGACTGCATTAGAATTCCCAAATCAGGGGCCCCACTACCAAAGTCGATTGGAGCCAAATCACAAGTGATCTTTCCACTGTAAGAGATTACAGAGTGGCAGTTTTAATTTAGTTCTAATTAGATAACACTAGTTACAGTCAAAACTGTATCACCAGACACCCGTGTGAAATCTTCTAAAACAAATTATCAGAAACCATGCTACGCTTAAAAATAAAATATTAGATATGGGCTCAAGATTTCTATCGCAAGTTAGGTACCTCAGGGCGCAGCCAGAGTCTACTATCGCACATAGAAGTCAAGAGTGAATAATCTAATCATTTAGGACAAATCTGCTGGTTATTTAAAACTTTATCTAAATTTTCTTCACTGAGACTTTGAAAACTCAAAAAGAGGCCCCATTTTGTTAGCAATTGCACACAGTTAGGGAATAGTGTAATACGAGATAGAACTCTAGTAGTTAAATCCAATTTTATTGAAAATGTTGATACTTCCAAGATTACTCCAGTAGACCGAAGAAGCTTAACCCTGTATCCTTTCTTTTTGTGCTACCAACACATGTTAACAGATTTTGTAGCAAAACTAAGGAAGGGAAGTTGCAGAGAGAGACATGATGAACAAAATTTTAAGGGCCTGTTCATACTCCTTGCACAGGAGAGGCACAAACAAGTACTCTCTCAAAGAAGAAATAAAACAATATGAAACCAGTAGTAATTGTAGATTAAAGAGTGCATTCAAGTTTTCGTAGGTTTGGTATGTAAAATTTATTCAGCAGAAGCTGCAGTGTTGGTTCTTGCCGAAGAGAAGAGGGTACACAACACGCAGCCAAACTACAGCTTTATGTTTGTACAAAAAGTTGCACACATTTTGTGAAGACATGTCTGCAAGGTTTTCAAATGCCATTAACACTGACTTCAAACTTAAAAATAACCAATTTCAGTATCCGCTACAGTCTACAATAAGCTGCCTTGACACTCAAAAGTCCGCAATATTGCACAATGCTTGAAAGAAGGGCACATGGATAAACATGGAGATGACATCATTTGCACGTGAAGAATCTTTTTTGGGGGGAGGGGGCAAATTGGTGTCCCCCAGTAGATAGATACATACACAGATCTCGAATTTTTATGCATTACGTCATTAGAACTGTGTTCTGTCAAACGTAATGAGAAGCTAGAACTCAAGGATAGACCAAAGCAGATTATTTTAATGGCCCATGTATTGAATAGAAGAACTAATCTCCTACAGGACCATCAAAGATGGAATAAGCAAATATACTGCAAACATGCCTCCTTCAAGCTTTTCCAAAGGAATCTGGGAGGGGGATTGCAAATGAAAAGGTTGGGGCCAGAGGCTTGTCAGCGATACCCCTAAGCATGATGACAAGCATCCCCAACCTTTTCATATAGGTGTCCTCCCCAGGCACAGGAACAGACTGTAATTTATTGTTTATGATGAAATGGGCAGGGCTGTTGATGTCAGATAAATACTCACTTTGCACCTGTTATCCAAACCCAAGCAGCCACAGTGATGCTGCTGGACTCTCCTAGGATCTCACTGAGGGCTCCTATATCAGCATAATCACTAGTGCCATTGAAGCTTAGAGCATAATCCCTGATCTGTTATATATTAAAAAAAAGATCATAAATGGCCATGGTAACACAAATAACTACTGCAAGGATGTCAAACCTCTTTTATATGAGACACCTTAGGGGAGAACCAAGTGTCCTTAAAGGTAGAGATTATTTTATATAAATTTTGGTTTAATTTATAAGGAGAGGTTCAACATTACTTGAACAACTAATACAGGCTAAAGTTGCTAAATACAAGACATTCTTATCAGAAAAATCAGCATGATTCCAGGTATGATGACAGCTGCGATAAAAGCACTACCACTTAACACTACCACTACCATTGCGGCAGATGCAGTGGTAGTAGCATTGGCGGCAGCAGCAGCAGCAGTTGAGGTGGCAATGGTGGTAGAACCAAACACTTACTTTGGCATGGTGTTCCCATTCAAGTTGACTCAATTTAGAGATGGTTTAATTTACTGACATGAAGGTGTCAAAAGGAACACCTGGTTTCTTTTAATAATTATTATCAACAAAGGAATCACAGCACAAGCAGATGTCACTGACAGCAATTCAAACTTAGGTTAATTTAGAATCATGTTAATTTAGACTGCTATGTTTGTTGAAGTATGGTCAAAAACTCTAAACTGGTGTAGTTAGACAAAAAACATCTGAGATCATACTGCATGTATACTTACAGACATTCTAGATGTGACTCTGTTATCCTTACCTCAGGGGATCCTGCATACAATTTTGAATAGTAGACATCTTTCTGCGAGAAGACATACATGCCAAGACGGCCACCTCTGTAACGTTTGTCTATGATGTTCCCTGAGTCTGATAACAGGTGTCTACCCTGTGGTCAAAACAATTGAGTCACCATCGTCTTTTAGTAAGGAGTGGCATGGGTCAGCTAAAGTGAGAGGCACTGTGACCTCATGGTTAGCTAGCAATACAACTAGTCTCTTAATACTATAATACTACTACTACTATGATGACACAGTGGTGACAGACTTCACCTCTCACCAATGTGGCTCAAGTTTAACTCCTGGGGCACGTTTCTCGAAAGCCCCAGAAACTTTTCAGGCCCGCAAAGCCATTTTCAGTTAATCTGTATCTAAAAACAGAGAGGTGTATACACTTGAAACTTCTTGTATGAAGAGAACGTCTGTTCACATTAAGAATACATGAATAAAACAGCGCTGTAATCAGAGGGTTTGAGATTTTGCTACGGCTTTCCGGGTGCAAAAAGTTTTCGGGACCTTCAAGAAACGGGCCCCTGGACCATGGCCTGGTGTCATGATGTTATTCGGGTTGAGTCTGTTGTTGGATTCCTCCTTGCTCCAAAGGTTACATTTGGTTTCTCTCATTTTCTTCTCTCCAGAAAATCTAACGCTTCTGCTGGTTCCTGTTCATTTATATCATTTTTTATCTTACTTATTTTCCTAAAAAATCATGTGCACTGTATACCAGCAAGCAAAAAATCAAGAAATACAACACTGTATAAAGTGGAGCATGGTGACGTGCATCTACAATAACGGGTACATAACTACATTATGTTATCAGCTGATGCTGAAAATTGGAGCCAGATGGCTGATTTAATGGATACTCACTTTGTACCAACGCACACGGATTCTTCCAGAGTCCGGGTTGTGCTGAAGTCTCCAGTGATATGCCACGCCTGGAGCCCACTTAGGAACAGGGTCATACCACAGAACATGCGTCTGATTGATGGTGTTTCCAGTCTCCCATAAGGCATCACGTAAGCTCTCACCAGGGCCAGTACTGGAGTCTATAGCCTAAAGGATTTAACAGTTGCGTCAGAAAATGTCACCTTTACTTTGAAGTGATTATCTTAGCATCAAGAGAGTATCTTAAGTTTTAATATGGTGAATTCAAAAGAAAAAGGGGTGACGAGTGAAATTTCACTATCTAAAGACTTAATCCATGTGAAAGCTCCAACAACCACTGTGTCAGTGTTTTGAAACTGTACTTGTTTGCTAGTAGAACTTCATTGGAACTTCAAACTTTGTTGCCTCTATTTAGTTTTGAGCCTCCATGTTGGAGTGCAGCTTATCTACGTGGTCTTTTACGGTAGTTGCCTATTCAAACACAAAAAGAAAAACTCACTGGGATCCAAACAGTAACAATTTTTCAAAGAATGATATAATCTTGAGTCTAGTATACTTCCCACATACTTTGAAATCATCTGAATTAACATACCATGAGATTAATGCCTTGCCTTGCAACAGATCTTGGATAGGGCAACTTGGTTTGCAGATTGTAAGATTGGGTCTTTTTCTTCCAAGAGCACACATAAAAATGCCTGATAAGAAATAAAAGCACGCATAATTTGCATGTTTAATCTTGTTCGCACCAACAGCACACATAAAAATGCCTGATGAGAAATAAAAGCATGCATAATTTGCATGTTTAATCTTGTTTGCAGAGTTTGCAATGCATTTGGTCTTGAGGCAGCGATCATCAGGACCTCTGCATTTTTTTTTTGTCAATAAAGGCCATAACCCATAGCACCTGTTACATCTGAGCATGCCTGATGGCCCCTTGTTGTTATGGGTGAGCTTGGCTGTAGTTGATGCAATTCACCCATAACGTAACAAAGTCATTCCGGGTGTGAAGATCAAGGCCCTACAGGTGAATCAAAACTTAATGACAGCCCTGCTCTGGGTGAAATCATAAGGTGGCCAGAATTAATCACAGCCGCTGCTATCTCTCTGCCAATTCAGAAGCCATTATCAAACTTAGATGCACAAACACAATCAAACTGGAAACAGGATGTTCTGGTTCTGGTTCTGTTATTTAGCCCAGAGTGCAGGGTGCTTGGTCACCACTGACTGAAAATGCACAATCAGGCTTTAAGGACAAGGCTGACAGATGTATGTTCAAATAATTCTGCCATTAAAATCAGTGTCCATGCTCATACTAGAAGCTCCCGAATATCTATTTCTTTCACAAAATGTCTACTATCATCGGAACTGAGTCTCTCCTAAACCAAAAAAGTATTAACTCAAAATCAAATGTGAACTCTCTGATCTGCATACATCACTCCCAGAGCCATAAGGAGACTTTCAGAGTGGAATAGCTGTTGTTACCTTTAGGCAGTAAATTCAATCCTGCTCATCAGTGCTAAAAACTACTTGTTGAAGTTGGGATTAATTAACAACGACTTAATTAGGCATTTGACTGGACTTGGTCAGATTTGACTCAGAACACTCAGATTTCATTTGGTAATCAGATTTGCACATCTCTCTTTCTGCTACATGATGCCAATTAAAATGTCTCTCTGACCTGTTACTCTGGTAGCCAAAGACAATGCCTGCAATGTCATCATCTGATCTGTCAGCTATAAAGAACGTTCCACTGTAGTCCACGTGTCCAAATCTTGTGTAGCTCAACAAAAGGCCTGGGTTCCTAATGAACAAGGGAATGGTTCATTTCATTCATGACATGAAGATCTACTGAACACAAGGTATAACACTTTTAATTAAGATTTCCAATGTGAAGATGTTGTTGAAAACAAGCTTAGCAGGCCAGTGACTTAACCTAAAATTTCTAAAGTCCTCCTGGGTGGCATGCTATTCCATGGCAAGTTGAGTCCTCCCAGAAGGTTTGTCTTGTTTCTCCTAAAAATTTACCAGCACCCATTTATTCTTTTAGCAAGAATTTGAATTACAAAGTGGGTGCCCACATATATGGTAAGAGTTGGTGGAGTGGCATCTTATCAGGGGTAGTGGCAATGTTCCTGGTCACTTTCTTATGTGGGAACAGGTGTTGTATCTGTGACTTTCTATTTCATTTCTTGTAATATATATATAAGCTCCTAATGTACAACTTACATTCTCTACTTCAATACTTATAGTAACATGTAATATGTAGTGTGTATTGTAATTTTGGTCTTTATGTTAAATAAGTGTTACCATGATCTTTTGTAATTTGTTAAGGTTCCATGGTAGAGTAGTGTAATGTGAGAAGGATTCAGTTGATAAATAAAGATTTCATTTATTGTTTTACTTTATCATACTGATTCAACACTCCACTGGTCAGTCCTCTATCTAACTTTAAAAGTATTTCACATTGCCACACAAGGTGCAGTACGTGACTTGATCCACAAGCAAACTTCAAATCCACAAACAAAGCAATGATTATAATGTGCGAAAGTAAATAGATTAATCAATAATATCAACAGGTATATACCCATTTGCAGTTTGCACAATTTCTCGGCCATTGTCATAAACCATCCACTTTGGAGGCTTCTGAACTTTTCCTACGCTATCTAAAATCACTTCCTGATAAGTACTGAAGTTAGTGTTGATTAAAAACTTGTTGACTGGATAATCATCCTGCAAAAAAAGAAAAATAATAAATCATTGGCATTCACTTGTAACAGCTAATCAAAGGCATTCACTCAGTCAGCGTTTTGGAGTGGGGGGCTACAAAAGTTTTATTCTTTGCTAGTTCGATGTGGGGCCTGGAGCTCAAAGATCTTCTTGATAATTGGTGCACACTCAAGCAAATNAGATATTCCAAAAAGGAAAACGCCATTCTTCTTTACTTTGAAAAGCCTTTCAAATCAGCAGCAATTATTTTTTACTTCATAGGCACTTTAATGCTATAGAAACTGGAATAAGCTCCAGCCTGGTGGGCCACTTGGCTCATATGCAGATTTTACCTTTACCTTTTGTTCTGCTGATACTTTAGTTGTTTATTAACAATTTTCTCACCAATGGAACAAACAAATAAAAAAAGAGTCATGCTTACTTGATCTGGATTAGGAACAAGGGGACAGTTGTCATTTATGTTCAAAACACTATCTCCATCTTTATCATCATCACAGTCATCTCCAAGTTCGTCATTATCTCCATTCAGCTGTAAATGTCAATAGTAGACTTAAGATACAGTCAATAAATTAAAGCATCACAATTCATTAACAGTTATGTCCTGTAATAATGCCAACAAGGTTTGTAAGTAATGGAGGAATGTGTGGGGGTCCTCTGGACAGCCAGTGTTTGAAGGCATATTAAAAATGAATAGACTCACCGACTGACCGACCGACTGACCGACCAACCGACCGACCGACCGACCTGCCAATCAAGTTGACAAACTGGATAGTTGGGAATCTTCCTGGTTAACTGGCTGAAAGGTCTGGGGTTCATTGAGGGCCAGGGACCTAGCAAATGACCAGCTGTGACGATAATTTTTCCCACCTGGTTTGAACATCTAGAGGAAGGTTTTTCTTATAAAGAAGTTCTGTTCTAGGCGTTTTGCCTGCCTGAAAAAAACCAGTTGCCCTCCCCATGCAATGAAACCCCTGGATAAGCCAGTTCATAAACTGGGTACTTGAGAGATTATATGCAGAACCGTACAGGAGACGCCATGAATGTGTTTATGCTCACCTGGTCACCATTAGGAACAGCTATACAGCTGTCTTCACTATCACTTATGCCATCATGATCTTCATCTGATTTTTCATCGCATGCATCACCAATAAGATTCTCATCTGTATCATTCTGGTGAGTGTTAGACACGCTGACACAGTTATCACATGCATCGCCCACACCATCACCATCAGTGTCTTCCTGACCTGGGTTTGGCACCAGAGGGCAATTGTCCCCCTTGTCTACACCATCATTGTCCAGATCTCCATTCTCACAAGCATTGCCAACACCATCACCATCACTGTCTGCCTGGTCTGAATTGAAAATATCGATGCAGTTATCACATGCATCACCAATGGTGTCTTTATCTTTGTCTTCTTGCAGTGGATTGGTATTAAACTGGCAGTTGTCAACAGCATCTGTAACATTGTCATTGTCATCATCAACATCGCACACGTCACCAAGATGGTCTCCATCATTGTTTTCTTGCCCACTGTTAGGCATTGACAGACAGTTGTCGACATTGCAATGTTTTTCAGGACAAGACAAAAGGACATCAGGAAAGCCATCCAGATCGGAATCTTGTTGACAGTGCTGGCCATTACCTGCATATCCCAAATTGCACTGACAGAAATACTGCAGGCTGTTTGGTAGCTGAACACAGGAACCATTCTCTTTGTTGCAAATAGTACAGATATCACTTATGAAACAAACTGAAACAAAAAATAGAAGGAAATAATTTCAGAAGTGGAGCATCGGTTTTTGTCACTCTCTGTTTCATCTAGATGATTGTTCAGGCGAGAATAGTCATGATTCAAGAGATATCATCTACTGATCACCAATTTAACTTCCCTTGTGTGACTCTAGCCTGAGAGAGGATTCTCATGTTGAAAGGGCAAAAACCATCATCTTTTATCAGTTTTAGAGGAACAAACTGGGAATTTAGAAGTCTCACTAAAAGCTACAGTACCATAAAGCTATTCCTGAAGCCACAATCAGCCACTATTCTGTATTTGCACTACTGGTTGACAATGAGCTGTCCAGATAATTAGTATGCCAATACTTTCAAAACTGTCAGTATTTCAGTGTCACAAAGAAAACAACAGATAGACTAAATGAAATGCAGTGTTCCATGGGGGTCTAAGCTGCACCACAGGACTTTATGGCACTGTAGTAAAGATAATCCTTATTTGATATTGTTAAATAACTGTGAAATTTGCATTGAATACTTAAACCAATCAAATTTACACAGACAATCATCACAAATGATGTACTCTTTAAAGCAATAAAAAAAAACACACCTCCAATGAGATTTGTCCACTTGCCATCTGATCCACACTGTACACTAGAGATAGTTTTATTAAAGTGTTCATCACACCTCACTTCACAAGTATCTTTGTATTTTGTGCCTGTGCAGTTGTGCAATTCCATAAATGGCATCTGAAAAGAGAAATTGAAACAATTTTATTGCAAGTGACTCAAGCTGGCAAGAAAAAAGCACAAAATTAGACACAAATCACTGATTAAATACTATATGTAGGACACATAAAATTCAAAATCTAATTTGTTTACAGAGCAAGATATTTTAGAACCAAATGTCATTTAGTTATATTAATGGGCCTTAAAATGTCTCAAATAGATGTGCATGGCAGCTAATTCACGGAAGTGTTTAAAGGGACTACTAATAAAAGTGAAACCGAGAAGGGATACAGCTGCATCCTTGTGTGCCTACTGTAGATATGTGAATGAGGTAAATTGGTAAATAAAATGGTTTCCTTATCTGCTAAACATCGTACATAAACCGGGGGGGGGGGGTACTCCCTTATATGGAGTCTATAGGTATGTGTAGCCCCAAAGAGTAGTGTTTTTCAGACGTTTTGGTCATAAATAGGGTATTGATTTTGGTGATTTTGCCCACTTTGGTCATAAATAGGGTATGCATGGTTTTTGCACTCAAGTCTTGAATTGGACCTCATAATGAAGCCTAAATTAATCCCCTCAGCTATCTCACAAACAATATTATACAATTTTACCTGAAGTGGGGCTCCACAGTCTTTAGGAATGCAAACTGTTTTCTCTCCGTACCATTTGCCATCAGCCTCACAAGCATAACTTCCACTTGATGCATTGTTCTTTTCATATCCCTCAAAACAATTCACCTCACATGTGTCTCTGTAGTTTGTGCTTGTACATTCCTGTGATGAATTTGGTACCTAGAGAAAAATATCAGGTTAACTTTGGATCCCAGGGGTTTCATCCAGAAGGCAACTAATTTCACAGGTGGACAAGAACTTTTGAATTGGGTGACTTTATAAAACAGGTGTTGGACATATTAATCACATTGCCAACCAGTCACTTTGTCTAGTGCTCAGCCATTAACAAAACACCTAGAATTTATTCTCCTCCTAATAATTACCCATTCTTAATGCTGGTTTCCTGCGAGTAGGTTGTGATAATCAAATGAAATCGTTTTTAATTTTATTAGCAGTTTTTACATGTCCAGTACACCACTAATTCAAATGACTGCTGTTTTGTAGAAATAAATATTAAGTATTGTGTTATCTTGATTATTCACAGAAGATTCCTCACTGTACCACCTCTTGAGCAACTCTAAAACTCCTCTCTTGTGAGCTTCCCAAACTCCTAGACTAATATTTCATCCCAAACTATTTCACCCAAACACAACCTCACAGAACCAAACACTGTTACATGTTATTGAATAGTTCACTGGCTTGTACAGAAAGAGGTTTTTTTTTTTGGCGAAGATACATGAAACAGTACGTAGCAATGTTTAATAGAATGTGTGAACACAATTTAATATTTATTTATCAAATTCACTTGAAATTTCATATTGTGTCCAAAACTACTCCTGTTTGTATTGACTGTTGAACCCTTCTTTTTGTTTGATCTGTTAGTTCCTCAGTTAATTTAGTTCAATGAATACATGCCACACAATTTGTTGCCCTTTTTACAGAGTTTTAGACTGAACATTCAATGGTAAAATTTCACACTACTGTCAGGTAATTTTTTTTCTGAATTTCATATTTCTAACTAAAGGTCTTTACAACCTGATCAAGAGATCCACAATCTTTTCTAATGCACATTGTCCTCTCTCCATTCCATTCTCCATTTTCTTCACATTTAAAATTTCCAATTAGTGCATTTTCTTTTTCATAGCCCTCAATGCACACAGTCCAGCATGTCGAGTTGATATCTTCTCCATTACAAACCAGGTGACCGTCTGGCATTGAATGATCCAAGTATCCACATTTCAGCTTTTCCCCAGTAACTTTCTCTGTCTCTCCAGCATCTTCTGAATCCAAGTCTGCAGACTTACCTCCTAAGTGTAAACAAAATAAACAAACATAAAAGATACTAGTTCGTGTAATGTGATCGTCCAGGTGAGGGTAGTTCTGAAAAGAACTGTTGTTGGTGACTGACGTTTCGACAACCTGAGCGGATGTCATCTTCAGAGTCAAGTGAATAGTGTTTGTCAGTCAATGATGTTACCAGTCTGGTCCGTTGAACATGATTGGTCAGTTTAGCCATGATGGTATTGGCTGAAAGACTCGTGTAAAGTTTGTCATCAGTCATTGGTGGGTCACTACCCTCACCTGGACAATCACACTATACGAACTATTGATACTCCTGTGTTCAAACCACTTACTATAAAAGATACTGTCAAAGTTCCAGCTACAGATACAACACAAGCCAGGCTAGGAAAACGTATAAGAGACATCTCTCTTGATGTTGTCAATTCTTTCTCCACTCAAGGGATGTTTGTGATATACGCTGAAATTAACTAAAGTCAAAGGCAGGGAACAAAAGAACAAAACTAGGGCGGTTAAGCAATATCCCCAAAAAAATATCATGCAAAGCGAGCCTCACAAAACAGACATGGAACAAATTGAGAAAATTCTTGCGTGGTTGCCAACCTGATCCTAAGAAAGGAATTTTTCCTCAAACCACCTCGATCAAAAATATAACATTACATCACTAAATAAAGCTGTTAGGAATCAATATCCACCACTGATAACCTACCGAGTAAGAAAGGGAGAGTTGCAACCAGCACTAGAAGGCCTGTAGTTATAGCAGCTACCAGAAGAATGAAGAAGAGCCTCCTCCTTCTTTGCTTCTCTTCTTCCTTGTCACAAGCTGAAACCTCAAAGTCATCAGGCAACAGATCCTGTTGAGAATCACTTTTGGTGAATGCATCCTGGGAAATCAAAAGGTTATGGACACATTTTAAAACACAGGTGATAATAAATTGAGTTCATATTAGCCTACAGTACAGGTGTTATTTTGGAACAGAACACTCAAAAAAGGTTTTCAATGCTGCCATCTTGGATTGTAATTGGATGTTTGACTGTTTAAGAGGGTTGGTGCAGAGGGCCAGGG